GTTCGGCTTGACAGTGGAATTTACGATTTGCTTTCTCTTAAGTGTCTTTTATAAGAAGAATGAAAGATAGATAATTGAAAGAAAATACACAAGACCCTATGAAAAATTAAAGTAGTCTTTGAAAAGACAAGAATTTAAAAGTGTATAACAGTGTGGCACCAGGTAGATTCGAACTAGATAAGTATCTTCGGTGTATATACTCAGCTGTTTTACCAGTTTAGCTGTTCTGGCTTTGAAAATGAAATGCATTAATGAAAAGTAGGCTTTTAAAAACAGGTTTCCTCATTTGTTTTTTTTTTTTTTTTTTTTTTTAGGTTTTTGTAAGTTTCGACCCTAGGGCAGGGGTGCCCTAAAAATTCCTCTCTTAAATTATCTTAAATTATTCCTTTCATCACAACCTGTCAAAATATCATAATTTTATTTAGGGGCAGGCCTGCTCTGAAGGACATCTAGGCCAAAATTCATGCAAAAATCTCTGCTGTAATGGACAAAATGCTGTTTTGGCCAACTTTGGGGGATAATTTTTAATTTGTAAATAATAAATTCTAGGTTCAAAATACAAATTTGAAATTTTAGACATATATACGGTAATTTAACAATTAATGAACATTACTTTTTTTTAAACGTGACTTTTTTCTGGGAAATTGTTCTCTCCTATAGGTCATTTTTTTTTCAAGTAGTGGATATACCCTAACAAAAAATACTATAGTTAACTATAGTTTACCATAGTTAACTTTAGTTTACTATAGTTAACTATAGTTTACTATAGTTAACTATAGTTTACTATAGTTAACTATAGTTTACTATAGTTTACTATAGTTAACTTTAGCATATCAAAGTGTCGAAGTTATCACTATAGTAAATCAAAGTTTTCAAAGTGATCACTATAGTGTCATAGTTATCACTATAGTAAATCAAAGTTTTCAAAGTTATCACTGTAGAAAATCAAAGTTTTCAAAATAGTAAATCAAAGTTTTCTTAGTAATCACTATACATGTAGTAAATCAAAGTTTTCTTAGTAATCACTATTATAATAGTAACTCAAAGTTTTCATAGTTATCACTATAGTGTCATAGTGATCACTATAGTAAATCAAAGTTTTCAAAGTTATCACTATAGTAAGTTAAAGTGTCAAAGTTATCACTATAGTTAACTATAGTTTTCATAGTGTCAAAGTTATCACTATAATTAACTATAGTAAACTATACTTAACTTAAGTATTTTTTGTTAGGGTACACCCTTTCAAGAAAAAAATTAAAGGTAAGATAAGAACACACCTGGATTGATAGTATTGAAAAAGAGACAAATTTCACTTATAAAACTGTCAATTATTTAGTTATAAATTATTCAAATAGATACCTATTGATCAAATAACACTTTTTATTAGAATGAATAGAGGTCATTTCAGCATTGAACTTGGACCTTTAAAAATGTGACCGTAGAAATAATACGTTTTATTGTAACGTATTATTCTGGTGTTAGGGCGGAGCTCTATTGATTATATAATGAAAAGCATTAATTCTTAAAAAAATCTTCTCTTCTGCTCCTGTGTATTATTTAAACAAACTAAGTGCATAATTATGATAAGCAAGGGTGCCTCTTCCAAAATTGTGAAATTCATGGCCCCAGGGTCGAGGGGTTCTGGTAAAAGAAGGGGGATCTATTGATTATATGGTGAAAAAGCTTAATTTCTTTGAGAATATTCTTTTCTGCTCATGGTTATGAAGCAAAGAAACTAAGTGAATCGTTATGATGAGCAAGAGTGTTTCTTCCAGAATTGTGAGTTTCATGGCCCCTGGGTCAAATGTTCTGGTATAAGAGTGCGACTCTATTGAAAATACTCGTATAGTGAAAATGCATTAATTCTATTAAATAATCCTGTCTGTTCCTTGATGTTGAGCAGATACACCAAGTCTATAGTTATAATGAGCAAGGATGCTTCTTACAAAAGTTTTAAAACTTGTGATCCCAGGGTCAAGGATTCTGGTATTTCTCAGGGGTAGGTGTATTGATAATATAGTGAAAATATGTTAATTCTATGAAAATCTTCAACTAAGTGCATAGTTATGATGATGAAGGTACCTCTTCCAAATTTGTGAATTCCAGGACCCTGGGTCATGGGTTTTGGTGTTAAGGTAGGACTGTGTTGAATCTGTAGTAAAAATTGCATTATTTCTTCAAAAATCTTCTCTGCTCCATGGCATATCGGAGGCAAACAGTGTCAAAGTTTTAATAAGAAAGGGTATTTATACCAGATTTATGAAGATCTGGACATTTGGTCAAGTGATTTGGTCCCGGCCAGGGCTCTATTATTTTGTATTCTACTAAGAGAAGTTATTCCCCTTTGCCATTCACTTTTGATAATCAATCACTTTAAATAATGTTAATAAAATATAAAATATAAATATGAAAAAAAATACTAGAGCAAAACTCGTTGCTGGAGCAACAAGCAGGTCTTCCGTCCAATTGTGCGAAGAAAATAAAGAACAGAAATGCAAATTAATATGTAAAAAAAGAACACAGTTCTGAAGAGCAATCGACTTAAAATGAGACGTTTGCAGGGACTTTTATCATTCAGATACAAGGAGGTATTTGTAAAAAGAACCCATTGGTAACTTCTTCCGGTTAGACCGGAAGTGACGTCGATCGACAGAAAATAAAGTCGGACGTCTCCAATGACTTTAACCATTCAATTTCCTGCCAATAGCTACAAAAATAAGCCTTTTCTGTCTACTTCCGGTTTGACCGGACGTGACGTCGATCGGCGAAAGCTGAGTTTGGACGCTTCCGATGACTCAAAACATGCAACAACATGTACAAAACTTCGAAAATATGCATTTTCTGACTACTTCCTGTTTTACCGGAAGTGACGTCAATAGACGACTTTTGATGATCTCACCAGCTGCCACTTGTTATTTTAAACAACTTGGCTTCAATAATGTATCACAAATTTTCCCTCGTTTTTGAGATTTTGAGAAAAAACTTTCGGCCCCTCTAGGTCCCTTATTTTAAGGGACAGCCCCTTTTTGTTGATATTGAATGAAAGATCGTCTAGTTTTGAACAAATTTTGTTTTACATGTTTTAACAAATTATTAACAGGTAAAAAGAAATTGTAGGAAAAGCGTTGAAAATTTTGAAATTTTCGATATGCCTTTTTTCGGACCATAGCGAGCGCCGACGTGCGGCATCTCCGGTAAAAATGAAATGCGTTACGCATATCCGCAGACAATGGTCTATCATACCTGAAAGTTTCAGGATTCTATCTTAAGCTATTCATGAGAAAATTTCCGGACAACCCGACCCTTCAAAAATTATCTCCGGACCGGAAGTGACGTCATGAAAACAGAAAAAAACGCGTAAGGTTCAAGTGATGATACATAAGTCCTGAAAGTTTCACGGAAATCCATCGAGCTGTTTTCGAGAAATCGCGTGCACAAAATCGGTAAGAAAAAAAACAATAATAAAAGTGAAAAAAGAAACCTAAGAATAACAAGAAGGTCTTCCGCTGAAGGCGGAAGACCTTGATAAAAATATAAAATATTTATAAAATAAATAATAAAATATTATCGAAAAGGTTAATAGAATAAGTAAATTATGCAAGAATTTTTATTGTATAATGCAAAAAGTACTTTTATAGCCTTAATGATCAGTTTGACGTATAAATAATAGATAAATAAAAATGAGACAAAAATAACTTACAGTGTATCTTATTAATTGTTCTTTAAAGACCAAGAGAGGTCAATGTGAGAGGTTATGATATGGAGTTAAAATTAGTACAGAAGCACTAATAGTTTGTTAATAGTCTGCATGGTGATAGAGATAAATAGTTGACAGATTAGAACTTAATTGATGAGTTGTTACTGTATACTAGACTAATTATTTCGTTGATCCTGATCATCCTATTTCTCTTTCTTTTTGGCAACAAATCTTCATCTATCAGTTTATTTTAAACTCTATGGATCCTCTGAATTGTTGTATTATACTCAGGTGACCGTTAAGGCCCTTGAGCCTCTTTTAAAATTTTTTTTGGCAACATTACATTTTTTTCTGTTGCACTCCTGACATGGTATATCATTTTTTCAGCAGCAGCCATTACCATAACTTGGTCAAACACAAATTATATATAAGACACAATGTATTAAAAGTTTCTGGAAATACAAAAAATATCGTTTCTACATTTGAAAAACTTGTTTATTGATAGATTATCTAACATGAAAATGTAATTGTAAGATGTATAAATGACAGAAAATCGCTAATTCTCATAAATGAAGAGCTGGAATTGAGGCCTTTGTTATCTTTGCACTACAATCATTTTAACTTAAAAGTATAGAAATCATATGTCCAGTAGCAAAAAAAAGTATGTATAGAAGTTGAAGAATATCCAATTTAAGACTTTTATTGTAACTGAGAGCTAAATTTGAAAATATACAGAGGCAAAAAGTACCGACGTTTTTGATTACAAAAATAGTCTAATAATTCAAACCGTTTTGTATCTGATGTAAATTTTAAAAATTCTACCCACGCGAGAGTAATTAAAGAGGTGATACTGCTCCAGGGATTTGTGATGGGTAGCAACAATTGTTTTGTTCATTGATTTTCTTTTTCTCTGAAACAAATTTAACGATTTTAATTTTGATGAACAAACACCATTCGGCAAACCTCGGCTGATTCCGTCACCTTCATCAAACCTCGGCTGTACGAGGAAACTTGATATGCGTCTCCGCTTAACATTTGTGATAAGGCTGCCTGTTTACCGCTTAGGGAAAACGTAACGCTTTGGAAACGATAATAAACATGCATCTGATATACGATGAAAATTTTCAAAAGCATACAGGTTACACTAAGAATAACACTTACCAAGAAAAATGCACTTAGTATCTTTACATAATCACATGTTTGTTAACGGATCGAATTCAGCACACTGTGCACGTGTAAATGTAGGGCGCAGCCATATTGCGTATAAAGTAGCTCCGGCTCAATGGAGGTTTACATGATACAGCCGAGGTTTGATGAGGTACGAATCGGCCGAGGTGTGCCGAGTGGAACAAACACATTGCAAGGTAACAATATAATTGTTCATTATGATAAGTGTAGTCAAAACTTAAAACTTAAAATATAATTGATTAAAATCTTAAAACAAACGTTAGTAATTTTTTTTGGCCAAGAATTTTATCCTATATAGCCGGAAAAAACTTAATTATATTAACTTACGTAACTATTAACTTCCAAAACTATAACCCCCCCCCTTCCAAAATAAAATAAAATAATTAACTCAATACCAGATTTTTGTAAGATGCTACCGTTTTATACTCAGTATCAGAAGACAAATTTAGGTCAACTCGGGCTTATGTCAACAACAACAAATCATGCTTTATCAGCAACTTCTGTTGCATTGCCTTACGACCTTGGGTATATCAAAATTGTAGTAAAATGTAACCATACCGGATTTGTTGATAATTCTTATTTTTCAAGTGCGCTGCTTTGTCCTTTAGAAAATTATATTGTTATTCCCTCGCAATGTACATGTGTTGGGGGGGGGGGGTGGAGGGAGTTACTGTGTGTGTCACGGAAGTTACGCAAGTAATAATCTATATCGGCATCGGTGTCTCATTTGCGAGGGGAATGCTCCGCTTTGAGATGTCTTTGTTGCTTTTTGTGATCGGCTTCGGCTGATCACTGTTAATTCCATATGACGCATCTAGCAGATTTAACTAACTGCACACACATTGTACGCATTATACAACTTTGTTTACTATGCACTGACAGCTTCATGTAAATCTTTAATTCATAACATGTTAAGTACTAACGATCATTATTTTGATGCATTTACCTTAAGATATATTAAACTTTATTCAGTTACATGGTTAATAAACGTGCATTTTCTTTACATGTGTAAGAATTTCATTCAAAGTACGCTTCCTTTAAGGATGAAAATTCGTTCGTTGATGTTTCGGAAAGCAACAAATCGAATTAGGAAAGCGTGACTTATCCGATTCTGTCCATTTATAGCATTGTTGACTTTCAGATATTATTGTTTATAATAATCCTTCCAATTTCAGTTTAGATGTATTTTACCGTTATGATGATTTAAAAAAGTGCTTGACACATCACATAGCCATAGCACATTTCCCCTATCTACGTACCCACGATGACGCTTTCTCAGAGCTAATTATTAATAATAGCATGTATCGATTGATTTTTGCAAACGGCTCATAATTCATTTGGAGCTCATAGAAAAATATTAATCTAAGTCAATTAAAATAAAAAGAAATGTCTACAAACATTTTTCAAGACACTTTATTATGCTAACTTTATGATCCCATCATGCCTATCATTCCTTTAAAAGAAATACTTGTTATTTTCTACTCAGGGATTTCAGTGAGCTATTGGCATCTGTATGATTAACAGATTATTACGGAAAATATCGCAGACTTTGTTTTACATGTACATGTACATGAAGTTTTGTAAAGGTTAAAATGTAAAATCTGGAAGTGTAGGTGTAAATTTAAAAAAAATCAATTTTAAATATCAAGAATTTAGAGAAAAATGTTCATTTCGAACTCATTTTTTTTTTTTTTGGTGAACGCAATGAGCTAATTTTTTAAGTGCGTAAGTTCTGCCTTGTATACTTCCAAGACGATTACCTCATTTCTCAATGTCTTTCGAACAAATGTAGAGAATTGAAACTTTAAGGCAACAGTTATCATGCACTGAACTGATGTTACTTCCCACATGCCACACTCCACAATGTCTAGCTGCACAAGGTCTCATCAAGCGATCGTAATTGTTTAAGTAAAATGGAATGGAAAGATTTGGTGACAATTTAACTCCATTCGACCACTTCCATGTGTATTTTTCTGGTCCTTGGGTATTGTTAAGTCCTATCTGGAATTTTCTTTGTTGAGAACTTGAGTAGTCATCTTTGAAAATGAGGAAGCATTTATTTACATTGATAGTACAGTTGTTAAAAGACTAAACTTTTTAAATGTAAAATTAAAATTAAAATGTAAAGTTGTATTTTTACAAAAACTGCAAGGTACAAAAATAGTTCTATTTCGTTTCCCCTAAGTTCAAATTTGTTTTTTTTTTTCTCTCGGATTCCTTTTCAAATACATTATCTAAGCTCGTTTTTTTTGTCAACCTCTTTGAATCGTAACATTATACAATAATTGCTGTTTTTGAAGTCAATATGATGATTAAGCCACTTGAGGAGGACAATATTCACCGATCCCGAAGGGCGAGGTAAATATTGTCCTCCTCAGGTGGCTAAATCATCGTATTGACCTCAAAAACAGCAATAATTATTTTATTATATGATTCAATGATTAATTGATACAAATTAATTACGTAATCCATGTCTGCTTGATTACATTTGCTGGAGTCCTTGCCAAACTCTTTGAGAGAACCAGGGTTAAAATAAACATAACCTATGGCGGCATATTTATACCATCCAGATAAATTTTGTCAACATAAGATACCGCATCAAGTCAAGATAATTATCTCGTCAAGTCAAGAAAATTTTGCTGGTTTTGTCAAGATACACCAAATACTAACTCGTCTAGTATAAATAATCTATCAGAATTTCTTGTGTTAGCTATCTCGGCACGACAAGATAGTTCATCTTGTATCATGACTAAAATTGTTGCGTTGACAAGAACTGCCTCTTCATAATTGCTGTCACAATAACTGTACACTTTTATAGATGATGTGTTACGGGTGTCTCGTTCATTTTCCAGTTACCTGTAAGAATTTCTTTCTTTGACATCTTCCTCACATTCATCACTATATTGAATCAATTTATTTTTTGTATTTGTCTATTGGAGGAAATAATTTTTAGAGATGATGATTTTCATATAAACCGTTCCATACATTTCTCCATTAAATATGAAATAAAATAACCCATTGACCTAATTTAAAATTTGTATTATTGGTCTTTTTCTGAGTTACTGGCATTCGTGAAACCTTAATGCATAGAGTCATCATTTATTAAAAACTACCTGTAATAATATCATAGCCAAATATTGATTTCTGATAAACAAAAACAAAATATTTAATTAAATAGCAGACCTATTGAATTTATAAATGCAAATATTACATGTTATCAAGTAGAAACTCATTGATTTGGTTTTCACGCATTTGTATTTTATTTGATTGAAAACATATACACGGTTTGAACACACATTGGTTTCAACTGAATTCCCTTGAAATTATGTGCGCAATACTTATTACAGCAACAATACAACCCATACAACGCCATCTATATATATATATATATATATATATATATATATATATATATATATATATATATATATATATATATATATATATATTGTACGTGTACATACAGTTATCGTGACTGCATTAATTTTTATGAAGAGGCAGTACTTGTCAACGCAACATTTTAGTCATGATACATGATAAATTATTTAGTTACGACGATATTACTATCACAACAAAATGTGAAAGCTTATCTTGACTAGACGAGATAGAAGTTTTTGTATCTCGACAAGACCAGCAAGTTATCTTGACTTGACGCGATACCTTATGTTGACAAAAATTATGTGGATGGCATAAATATGCCACCATAATAGCCAGTTGTATTAATTTGGAATTTTAATTTCTTTTTTTAATCTATTTAAGGTGTGGCGTAGAAAAAATAAGTCAGGTTAAGGTAGAATGGATTTTGAAAGGGGGGAAGAGGAGCATTAGAGGGAAAAAAATGACAACTTACCTGAAAAAAATCTTTGACTACCCCCCCCCCCCCTTAAAAAAGGGAGAATCTACAACTCCAAATCGAATGGTGGGGAGTGTTTGGGTCCAATAAGGGGGGAGGGAGGCAACCAGCCTTTCAATGAATATTTTCATATTAAATTCATAGTAAAAATTTACATTCAGATAAAAGTGTGGTGAGGGGTTACAGACCCCCTTCATGCTCCCTCCCCAAATTCTATGAAAGTGAAAATGGCCTGAGTGGAAGTGACATGCAATTCATGAAATAAATTTCCAGAACTGTTTGTATCAATTTGAGAGTTCTCAATCAACGTACAAAAAATAAATCCTCGTTTTCACCTGAAAGGTCACATGCAGGTGAAGATAACGTAGTATAATTTTTACAATGTTGGACTTCAGCCAATTGGAGATCTAAGAATTATTCAATCATATAATAAAAATATTTTTAAACAAAGTTGAAGAGTGACCAACGATCATTTTTTAACTCATAAAGTGAGATTGGACAAAGTAGTAATTTATTTAACTCGAGCGTTAAAAAATAACTAGTTATCGATTCAACAATTGTCAACATAACATTAAAATTACTGGTCACATAAACTTTAAAGTTTTAGGTTTCAACTCTCGGTAAAAATACATGTCGTTGAAGGTCTTATTGAAAAAAAAGGTGTCTGATTTACTTCCGATCTGTATTCTTTTGTTTTAAAACCCTCTATTTATATCTCTATACTCACAATAATTCCGTATATAAGTAGTCACGAATCCTATTTTCTGGTCTGTATCTAAAGAAATCAATGATCCGCCAAACTGTTTACACGATGCAATTGCCCAGGTAGACCTCATGTTTTGAGCCACGAAACTCTGGAAACAGATCCCACCTGCCCGATTGTGCACGAAACCAAAAACAGGACAGGATGCTGAAAGTTGGAATAAAAATTATGAAAATCTTTAAAAGGCTTTGTAAGAAGAATTTCAAAAATTCCCTAACGTTACTTATGAAGAAAAGAAATTATGAAATATATTCCTCTTACTGACAGACCTGTGACATTCTAATTGCCTGTAAACGATTTTATTAAAATATCAAAATATTTAATTGGTGAATTTTAGTATTTCATAGGTAATTTTGTCTGGAAGGAAACTTACAGGCGATTTCGTACATGTCAACACCACTTTCTTGTTTACTTTGAGTATGCCGCCAGATGGAATACTTGTAAAGGAAACATTTCTTTTCCAGTGATTTGAAGAAAAAAGTTTGACACAAATCGTCCGAGGCGCACACGATTCCACAGGCGTTGAGTGTCCATTGACCTCCCATAGATATCAACCCAGATGCTGGCAAAACGTCCTTGTAGCGGGTGTTTATTACAAAATAAGTACTTCTTAGGTAGGTTTGCATAGTTCCTTAAAATTAACATAAAACAATAACTTATATACATGTAATGATTAATCTGCATTGAGAATAGTGGTCAGATTTATGCTCTATTTGAAAAAAAAATGTGATATCTAAGCAAGGTACGGGGTTGAGAGGTGGGGGTCATAAAGGAAGGCCTAGCAACTGGTATGGAACATATCATTATCAGTCAAATTTGACGTATTTGCAAACACAAAATCATTGTAACAACCTGGAATTTGCAAAATGTTAACTTTACCAAAACTGCCGAAATTCATATATCAACATTACAAGGTATTTGTCAGTAGCCTGTCTCGGTTAAAACTGATCGATCGTACACAGAACATTAATATTCTCTTAAATTGCGAATCGAACCAGAAGGTAAATACAAACACAAAATGAAGGTTATAATTTTACATTGCTATGTTAATAGGAGAAGTTCACTATGAAGAACTAGAAAAAACCGTAAAGTCCATTCCCAGACGTGAAAAAAGCCCTATTTCGTAGAGGTGGTGGTGGGTTCCACGTTTTCTAGGGAAGGGGGGTGAACGGGTCCAAAGTCATATTTTATTTGCTTCAGTATATACTTTTAGTAACTCTGCAAAAGCCATGGGGAGGTACGGACCTCCCCCCCTCTAGATCCATGCATGAGATTGATTGATTGATTGTATGTTGTTTAACGTCCCATTCGAGATTTTCTACTTTCTACTCATATAGAGACGTCACCATATACCGGTGAAGGGCTTCACATTTAGACCTTTACTCGGCACTCAGGGCCATTGAGCAGTGAGGGTTCTTTATCGACCAACGCCTACCGTGACACGGGGCCTCGGTGTTTAAGGTTTCATCCGGAGGACCCGCAACTTTCACTTCAAAGTGCCGAGCGCAGTAGCGGGCGAAGGAACATTTTTATCGACTTCGGTCAGTCGCGCCGTGATTTGAACACATGACCTTCCTATCACGGAGCGAGCGCTCTACCGACTGAGCTACCGTGACGGTGCATGAGATTAATAAGGATGTTTACAGAAAAGTAAAAGTTTGAACATCATAGAAAGTTTACAATTTCGTAATATTTTAGAAATTTATTATTTGCATCATTTACATCTAAAATATTTCCAAAAATATATACCAATCCAGGCATCCATTTATCTGTCCTTAGTGTCTATATTAATTATCTTCTACAGTTACTACTGATGTTAATTGATATAACGTCTTCAGTTCATCTACAGTTCAGGCAACTAATTTTGTTACTGAAATCAGCAAAATAAGCATAAGCATCCTGAGCTAGCATCAGTATCAGAATTGAAAAAAAAAAACCAGCATTCCCATGATCAGCACCATTAAGCAAATAATAGAACTAGGATAAGTAGAACTGACCTACTTAAAATCAGCATGTGCAAATCAGTTTTGTTTTCAGTAGAAAAATCTAAAACAAAGAAAACTGGTTTAATAATTTAAAATATTAATATATAATGAAATTAAATGATAAAATAAAGCGTGTTTACTGCTTTACACTGCAATGCTGAAATTCAATTAACTGCTTCCGATAGCATATAATGCAACTTCCGGTAGAATTTACCTATTTTTTAAAACAGCAAAATAGCATCAGGATAGGGATACCTAGCATTAAATCAGCAAGCAAGCGAAGCATTCAAATCAGAAATAAGGATTTAAGGATAAAAAAATCAACATAGTTGCTATAACAAAATTAGTTCACTGCACTGTATAAGTCGAACTGAATGCCATATAGGAACTTTTTTTCTTCCTGTGTAAAGTTCTGTTTTCATTAACTTTCGGTACATGTAATACAAAAACAGGTTGACTTATAGATGGGTACAATTTTTTACCATTGGAATTTCAACACTTTGTTGGATTCCTTTGTTCAAATGATTACAATTCTTGACCATCATATAGTTACAACAAGAGGTCCAAGGACCTTAACGATCACCTGAGTATAATACAACAATTTAAAGGATCCATAGAAGTCTAAATAATAAACTTATAGATGAAGCTTTGGTGCCCCAAAGCAAGAAAAATAGGATGATCAGGATTAGCAAAATAATTAGTCTAGTACTCAGTAGCAACTCATGAAGTAAATTCTTTTAACCTCCATTTATCACTAGCACCATGCTATGAACAAGTGCTTTTATAGAATTAGTACTTTTTGTAATCCCACATTATTACCTCTTACATTGACCTCTCTTAGTCTCTGAAGAACATGTTATAAGATAAGTTATTTTGTATCATTTTTATTTATCAAATTTTATTTACAAGTATACCTGATCATTAAAACTATGAAAGTACTTTTTGTATTATACAATAAAAAGTCTTCCATAATTCTTTTATTCTATTACCCTTTCAGATACATTACTTACAGTGATTATTTATCAAAGGTGAATTGCAAAGTGGAATAACTTCTCTCAGTAGAAAACAAATTAATAGAGCCCTGGACAGCATCAGAACATTTGACCAAATGGTCGCGAATTTAAAAAAAAAAATCTGGTAAAATATCCTTGCTTATTAAAATTTTTACTCTGCTTGCCTCCAAGATGCCCAGGAGCAGAGAAGATTTTTTAAGAAATACGCATTTTCACAATAGATTTAACACAGCCCCGCCCTAACACCAGAGCCCATTACCCAGGGTCATGAAATGCTAAAAATTGGATTATTTACCCTCGTTCATCATAACTATGCACTTAGTTGAAGATGTTCAAAGAATTAAAGAATTAACATATTTTCACTTTATTTTAAGTACACACCCCTTCCCCCTTAGAAACACCAGAACCTCTTACCCTGGGACCGCAAATTTTAAAAATTTGGAAGAAGCACCCTTGCTCATTTTAACTCTGCACTTTGTTTATCTGCTTAATACATAAGAGCAGACAAGATTATGTAATAGGATTAATGCCTTATGACAAAAACAGTGAAAAAAAATTAACTATTTAATACCAGCAAATTATAAAACTGGGGGGAAAACCAAACATGTTTTCTTCGAATGGGTTTTTACACAAAGGAGGGAGGCTTAGCCCTGGAGTACATGGAATAGTAATAACAAGCAGGTGCAATTTCTTGGAAACGGAGTAAACGGATAATTTGAAAACTCTTCCAATTCCCAATTGGTGGTATATTCATAGTTTGGGATTTTCAGTACTGGCGCTCAACGCCAGGCCACCGATTTGCCCGTTATACTTAACATTGCTAGGTTGGTATATACTGGATATTCCTTCGGGCCCCTGGGGTAATACAATACAGCCACTTTCTTCCATTATATCTTTTTGAAATTTTTTAATTGACATATTGTGTGATGTGTTTGACTACTTGATTTATTAAAAAAGTAAAATGAATTTAGTGTTGTAACTGTTGTTACGGTACATTGTAACAGATTAAAAACTGATGATATAACGAATTGTCGGATTTGTTATAACGAATTTAATTCGTTATAACAATTTCATTGAATTCGTTATAACGAATTCAATCTGTTATAACAAATTTGATGAATTCGTTATAACGAATTCAAAAATTTGTTATAACGAATTGAATTTGTTATAACAAATTCTAAAACTTGTTACAACGAATTAAATTCGTTAAAACGAATTCGACAAATCGTCATATCAAATTCATATATATTTTTCCATAGGCCCCAATTTCTAAATTTAATTAAATTAAACGAATTTAATTCGTTATAACAAATTTTAGAATTTGTTTAAACGAATTTCATTTGTTATAACAAATTTTAGAAGACGTTTAAACGAATTTAATTCGTTATAACAAATCTTAGATTTTGTTTAAACGAATTTAATTTGTTATAACAAATTTTAGAAGTCGTTTAAACGAATTTAATTCGTTATAACAAATTTTAGAATTTGTTATAACGAATTCAACAAATTTGCTATAACATATAACATATACAAAGAAATCGTTATAACGAATGAAATTCGTTATAACAAATTTGACAATTCGTTATATCGAATTCAAAAATATTTTTTGATAGGTCCTAAATGGGCTTCCGTAGATTTTAGACATCATATCAGGCTAAATTAAAAAAGTTGAAAATACATGTCTCCTTTAAGGAAGCAAATTCATTTTTTTTAATTCGTTATAACGAATTGTTGAATTTGTTAAAACGAATTCGATTCGTTACAACAAGTTTTTGAATTCGTAATACGTTAATCTGTTAAAACAAATTTTTTAATTTCTTAATTTTGTTATAACGAATTCAAAAATTTGTTATTACAGATTACATCCGTTTAAACTTATTCCAAAATTTGCTCGAATTTAATTCGTTTTAAGAAATTCTTAAATTTGCTATACGAATTAAATTAGTGAAATCAAATTCGACATTAAGGACATATATATATTTTTTTTTGGACTAATTATCGAAAAGGTTTAAATGAATTTAATTCGATACAACGAATTGCCAAATTTGTTTTAACAAATTTATTTCGTTATAATTAATTGTAAAATCCTTTTGAATTCGTAATAACAATTCGTAATAACAATTTTTCGAATTCATTTTAACGAATTCAACAAATCTGTCATATTAGAATTATTTGGTTACAACAAAGTAAAATTCATAATACGGATTAAATTCATTTTAACAAATTCAGAATTCAAAAATATATTTTGTCCTAAATGGGCTTTCGTAAAAATCTTAACGTTATTTAAAAAAAAAGAAAAAGAAACACCCCCCTCCCCCTTCCAACTTGTGTTCTAGAAGACAAAGTATGCTCTTGATGTATTTTATCGTAAAGCCTAAAAATAATTAAGTACTTACCAAAAATATGAAATATCCATAATGAAAATGTCCAAAGTTTCATATTAGGTGTTATGTGAGCGCATTGAATTTTTTTTGCAGGCGAGTTAGGTCGTCAGAGGTTTTGCTAATAGGAATGAGGACCGTTTTCGAAGTGGAAGTTAATAATACTGAATAAACACCTATAAGTTCACAGTTCCGGAATGCAATTTAATGGGTTTATTAATCTATGAATATGTTT